GCGAGCGCGCACGGGCTTAGGCGCTGACCGCCTCAGCCCGCTGGACCTGCTGCGCCTACCGCAGGAGGCGCTTGAGGAGCTCGCACGCCTGTTCAACATCATGGAGCAGCTGCAGATGTGGCCGCACCAACTCCCGATGACGATTGGGGTCATGCGCGCAAAGAAGGACAACGGCGACCGCATCATCGGACTTCTCCCCGAGATTGCACGCTTGTGGTCCATGTGCCGCGAAGGCGCCGCACGCACATGGAACCAGAACTGCCACGCCCCGTGGGACGCAGCGGCCCGAGGCAACTACGCCTTGAGAGAGGCCTATGAGCGGGCCATGCAGAAGGAGCTCACCGCCTACGCACGTGCACCACAGGGGCACGGACTTTGGGATATCCCACAGCTTTACGATTCGAACAGCTGGTGCGACCTGGGAGCAGAAGCCCTCGAGCTGGACTTCCCCGCCGAAGCCCTGGGCCTGGAGCTCCTCCAGTGTATCGCCCCCAGGGTCCTCACCCAGAGCGGCAGCTGCACTGCAATTTCGGCCGACACGCTCGATAGTCCAAGGACTCAGACCAGGGACACGGTTCGCCAAGGCCATCACCTACAAGGCGACACGACGAGTTACTCAAGTTCATGCGAGATGCTCTCACCGCATATGGGTGGCCGACCTGTCCCAGCGCATGCAGGGTTCACACCAAGCCATCAGGCGCGACCCCCATCAAGTGCCTGCTGGACACATGTCGTGCACTCCGCGAACGGGGGCTCAACATCGCCAAGAAGAGCATCGCGCTGTGCTCCAGCATGGACTACCCGAGGCACATCACACGAGGCCTGGCCCGTCATGGTTCCAAGGTCTTGCCCAAGGCGCAGGCAGCGTACCTCGGCGCGGACCTCGGCGCAGGAGTACGAGCAGCACGAGGCACCAGGACGCAGAGGCACATCAAGCACGGGCTGCAGCACAAGAAGATTGCGCGCCTCACCCGCGCCTCCCGACGGTACCACGTCACGGGCAGGCTGGCCCTTCAAGGGGCACAAGCTGCAGGCAGCTACGGGTACCAACTCCACGGAGTGATTGGCACACAGCTGACCCTCTTTCGGAGACGCCTTGAAGACTCGCTTGGCCCACGGCTCCAAGGACGGCGTCTCGCAACACTAATCGACCTCAGGGCCGCCTCATCTGACCCCGCCCGTAAGTTCCCACGCGAAGCCATCCAGCAATGGCTCGCGACGTGGACCCAGGCGGGGCCGATGGAGAAGGCCATGCATCACACATGGGACTCAGTTCTCCAGCATGTTCAATCATTACCTTGCGGGCAGCACGTTCGGCACATCAAGGGGCCGCAGTCCGCCATCATCATGTACCTCCTGGACCTGGGGTGGACACCGACACGACCACACGAGTGGACACTCTCACGGGCAATAATCGGAGCCCACGGCCAGGACACCTGGGAGTTCAACGGCCCGCAGCTCACAGGGAACCCACGCGTGGACATCCCAGACGCGATGCTGCAGGACATCGATCGCAGTGCACAAGCCAAACTGTGGGCCCAGGCGAGTCAGCACTACGGGGGATCCAGTATGGAGCACGGGATCGACAACAGGTCATACAGCAAGCTGCTGCTGTCTCTGGCCAAGATGAAGCACGGGCGACGGCTGTCTACATTGATGCCCACCATCGCAGCAGGGGCCACGTGGCCGAAGGCCCGAGTGCTGGAGCAGACCAACGCCATCACCGACGGCATGTGCCCACGCTGCCAGCTAGAAAAAGAAACCCCATTCCATCGGACCTGGAAGTGCACCGCCCACCAAAAGTGCCCCGTGCACAACGCCACGGAACGCATGATAGGGGAGGCGACCGCACAACAGGACATGTACGAATGCTACTGGACGCGCGGCCTGGTTCCCCAAGCCTGGACACAGGCCCCGCAACCAGCAGCGACCCACCACTGGACCGCCCACGGCGTCGAGGCATACGCCCCACAGTGCTTCGAAGCTAAACAGCCTCTCCAGCGCTGAGGCGCGTGGGCGTCAGCATCGCCGCTTTCCACAGCCTCAACATCAACGACATGCACCTGGAGATGGCGATGTGGGGTGCCCTGCCTGGCGACAGGCAGACGGTGGTCCGCGGCGAGCTGCTGGCCATGCTCCTCGCCCCCCAGGTTTCCGACCCTGACGTCGTGCACATTACAGATTGCAAAGGAGTCGACCTGAACTTCTACCATGGGCATCCCAACTCGTCTACTGGACCAGACGCCGACCTCTGGCACCAGGTCGGAGTCGAGCAGGCTCGGCGATCAGGAGAATTCGTTATGTTCACCAACTCGCACGCGACGGGTGAGGACGTCGCCCTCGGCCGCACCAATGCATCTTTCGCCTACGGCAGCACTGTCGCCGACGAGTTTGCCCACGCTGCCGCAGAGAACCATCGTGTTGAAAAGCATATTCGTCAGAGGATCCAGGTAATCGAGAATGACGCCTACCTCGTCCGCATGAGACTTCTGAGATCCAATCTAGAAGCCCTGGAGTTCGAGAAGGCCCACTGTCAGAACGTCCCAGTAGGAAGCCGACGGCCTAGGAGAGCCAGAGCCCAGCCTGTCCGTCCTCCTGCTCCCTCCCTGTATGCCGCTTGTGGGGCCCCCACCAGCTAGACGACACAGGCAGGAAATGTCTCAATTCTAAAGGTTTCGCATCTGCTAGCACCCGTGTACAATGGTACAAATCAGAGTGTTTTCACCTCGAAATTTAGATGGCACCTATATGGCCCCCCCTGGGTAGACAGGTTCATGCAGCAGGGGGGGGTGGATTCATTTAACCCATCATCCGAGGTTCCACGCTGGGCTGGGGATTTGGTTCTGCTCCCATTGCGGGAGTTTCGTCTCTCAGCAAATCGGGAAGCTCGCAGCAGTTTGTCAACCCCGCTCGGCCACTGGGCGCGAGTATGTACGACGTATCAATTCGGGTCTCTGGCCGAAGGTCCTCAGCAGAGCTGAACAAGCCCAAGGAAGCAAGCACCTTCAGTAGGTGCAGGAGGATTTTATCATACAGAGACTGCAGAGAGACTCCTCCTCCTCCTCCTCCGTCTCCTCCTCCTCCTCCTCCTCAGCATCATCATCCTCATCATCATCATCATCATCATCATCATCATCATCAGCAGCATCATCATCATAGTAATCATCATCATCATCATCATCATCATCAGCAGCATCAGCATCATCATCATCATCATCATCATCATCATCATCATCATCAGCAGCGTCACCATCATAATCAGCATCATCATCATCAGCATCATCATCAGCATCATCATCATCGTATTCATCAGCGTCATCATCAGCATGATCATCATCAATAATATCAATCATCATCATCACCAACACCACCATTACAGTCACCACCACCACCACCATCACCATCATCATCAACATCATCATCATGATCGTCATCACCATGATCATCATCATCATCATCATCATCATCATCAGCATCATCAGCATCATCATCATCATCACTATCATCAGCGTCATCATCATTATCAAATCATTAGCACCCTCATCCTCATCCGCATAAGCATCATCAGCATCAGCATTATCATCATCATCCTCAGCGGCATCATTATCATCATCGTTATCAGCATCGTTGTCATCATCATAATCGGCATAATCGTCATTATCATCATTATCATCATCATCATCATCATCATCAGCAGCAGCATCATCAGCCTCATCATCATCATCATCATCATCATCATCATCATCGTCATCGTCATCATGGTCAGCAGCATCATGAGCATCATCATGAATAGCAATCATCAGCATCGTCATCATCTTCGTCATCATCATCGTCATCATCCTCAGAAGAAGCATCAGCATTATCATCATTATCACCATCATAATCATCATCCTCGTCGTCATCAGCAGCAGCATCAGCATCAGCATCAGTGCCAGCATCATTATCATACGTAATATCATAATGTGTATCATCATCATATTCTTCATCATCATCTTCATATTCATCTTCATCATCAGCACCAGCATCATCATCATCAGCAGCAGCAGCATCATTATCATCCTCATCATCCTCATCCTTACCCTCAGCCTCATCATCATCCTCACCCTCGCCTTCATCCTCACTCTCACCAACATCCTCACCCTTATCCACAACCCAGGCACCTGTCCCGTGTCAGGCGGAGCCAGGCGTGCGAGCGCCCGCCCACACCAATCTGCGACGGTAACTGCAGGAGCGCCCCCCCCGCCGCACCTCTCCCTCCTCCACAATTACTACTCTCCGTTCCTCTCTCCTCTGACTCTATCCGAAGAGTGTCCCGTCTTCTCCGCGCATTCTTTTCTACACACAAGATGTCATTATTTGATTGTTCGTGTGTTTTGTCAATCCAGTCATCTCTGGTTCTTCCAGATTGGTGCTATTGCTGCAGCGCCACCCTCATTTCCGAGCTTCGGTCATGCAAAATCGTGTTCCCGCTGCAGCGCTGGCCTCGTTCCCGCGCCTCCGGACGGCACTTGGCATTCGAAAGCGCCCACACTGGGCAGGCACGGTTGCGGAGGACATGCTATGCTCTGCCGTGCTCTTCTACGCCATGCTTTTCCATCCATCGCGTACCCTCTTGGGATCATTGCCCTGCTCGACATCCGACTGTGCGAATAGATAGTAGAACACGCCATTGCAAGGGATGGGAGGGAGGAGTAGGACGCCAGATGTGACGCTAGCGCACCAGGCTTGCCCTCCTCCCCCTCCCCCATCCTCCCAGACAGAGGACGCACGCGCCCAAACAACTACAGGAACACGGCCCCTGAACCCACGAGACTGGCCGCGCGCTCTCGAAACCAACGTGGATTCGTGTACGCGCACGCTCCCCCGTCACCCCATACCCCTCGCATTCCCCCCCCCCTCCCTCTCCTTCCCCCCATCCCCCCCCCTCGACTCCGCTCCACGCAGCACACCCCCCCTGTCAGCCTGTCCCCCGCCCCCGTGGCTCCCGGCGGAGGGAACGCCTCGTCCTCCATGTCCTCCCAGGGTATCGGCGAGGCCTCCGGCCGCGCTCGAGGCCGAGGGGCAACGACAAGGGGGGGGGGACTGGCACTGGGGGGGGGACATCGACCCGGAATCGGCGATACGTCTCGGGCGTTGGCAGAACTGGGTCTGGTGGGACCTGGTTTAGTGATGTGTACTGGGGGACGCCCCCCCGCCCTTTCCCACTAACTGGAACTGCCGTCACACGAAAAAACACCAGCTACGACAGACCTGGTTTAGTGATTCTGGCCAATTTAGGGGCTCCAGGGTCCTACCACGAACCGGGTCCCCTGACCTGGGGTCCTGGCTATACCCGAACGTCGCCGATAGATCGGCGGTGGGCCCTCCCGAGGTCTGGGTCAGGGCGCGGCGCTCGCAGACGCGTGGAGGATTCAGCGTGCTCCGGCGAGGACTTCCCTCACGCGCCTCGTCCTGGTGGACACCCACTGCAATGATCAGCGGGTGCCAGGGCTGCGGAAGACCAGAGGGCGAGGTGTGGGGGGGGTGGAAACATCGGCCTGGCATCGGCCCCCGATAGCAAATCCCCACGTTCCTAAGCGGGGTAAAGCTTTCGGGTCCCTATCGGCGATGAATGAACGATTGTCGGCGGCGAGCGAGGGGGGAAAGTGCGAAGGAGAAGGCCTTCTCAGAAGGCTCGGATATCCACCAGCCTTCTGAGAAGTTCTCTAAGCCTTCCCCGAAGACACGGAAAACTCCTCAGCAGGCCCGAGGGCTTCTGAGAAGTCCCGCCGACTTCTGAGAAGGCCTTCTCCTTCTCGCTTCACCCCAGTCGCTCGCCGCCGAGATCAGGGGTCGATGCATCCTCCCCTGTGCCTCTCCCCCCCTGGCGTTGCCCTGAGAGGCCGGCTGGCGGGCGAGCGGGGCGGAGGCCCGACGCGCCGCGGGCTACGGTACAAACCTCCAACGTACGGCAGGCTCGTGCCGCGTCGGCCCCGGCGTTGGCTCCCTGACGCCGCGGGGATCGTTCCACCTTGAACGATCGGCCGTTTCCGAGGCGTCAGATCGTTCAACCTCGACCGATTCTGGGTCGGCGGCGGCGTGCGACGTTGAACGCCAGCGGCGGGGTCGGGTCGCCGCTGGTCGACACGACGCGAACCTACTGTACTGAAGCCCGAGACGTACCCCACCCGTTCTGATTGGACGGCGACTGTCGGTGGGACTGCTCAGCACAAAAGAACACATGGAAATGTCTGCGGCACTGTTGAACGCTTGGCAGCCTCCCCAGGGGAGCCGCGAGGTCTCGTCTGGGTCCGCGTGCCGCGAAACAGTGACAGCTGCACAGCTGGCAGCCGCCACACGGAGCCGCGAGGTCTCATCTGGGTCTGCGTGTCCCTCAGCTCCGCGGACCCCCCAGGAGCCCATGCAAGTGGCGGCAGTTGCACAGATCGCGGCCCCCCAGGAGGGCTGCGAGGTCTCGTCTGGGCCCGCGTGCCCTTCCGCTCCGATGGGCCTCCCAGGAGCCTACGAAAGAAGCATCGACAGGTGCACAGGTGGCAGCCCCCCAGGGAGCCGCGAAGTCTCGTCTGGCTCTCCCCGCCCCGCTGGCTCTCGCAGAAGCCGACGAAAGTTGGGCAGTTGGCAGCCCCCCAGGGTGCCGCGAGGTCTCGCCCGGGCCTGCGCGTCCCTCCGCTCAACGGGGCATCCCAGGAGCCCACAAGAGTGGCGACGCTTGCGAAGGTGGCAGCCCACCAGGGCGCCTCGAGGTCTAATTTGTTCAGAACGTGCGTGGGACACCACTCCGCTCCCAAGAAAGTAGCGACAGCTGCGCAGGGGGCAGCCCACCAGGGAGCCTCAAGGTCGAGTCTGGATGCGCGTAGGGACGCCACTCCGCTGGGCCTCCCAAAAACCAACGAAAGTGGCCACAGTTGCGCGAGTGGCAACCCGCCAGGGAGCTGCGAGGTCGTCTAGATGCGCGTAGAACACCACTCCGCTGGGCCTCCCAGGAGTCCACGAAAGTGGCCTCAGTTGCGCAGTGGGCAGCTCCCCAGGGGGCCGCGAGGTCTGGTTTACATGTGCATGGGACACCACTCCGCTGAACCTCCCAGGAGCCCACTAGAGTGGCGACAGTTGCGCAGGTGAGCCTCCGGGGATGACAGTCCCCCAGGAGAGCCGCGATGTCTAATCTGGATGTGCACAGGACACCACTCCGCTGGGTCTCGCAGAAACCCACCAAAATGGCGACACTTACGCAGATGGCAGCCCCCCATGGGGAACCGCGAGGCATGCGGCAAGCAGAAAGTAGGATGCATGCAGGCAGCTGACATGGGACAAGAGGGGGAGGAAGAACGACAGGTTGGAGAACGCAGTACTTCATTTATGTGCTCATTTCTTTCTAAAGAGTGTAAGGGAAGAAAACAAAATGGCGCTTTTCCAACGTGTTCGGCCTCTGGGGGGCCTCGGGGGGCCTCGCCGGGCCCCGGGACCGTCATAAAACGGTTCGGGGTAAAAACCGGCCCTAGGGACAAGGTCGGGGCTTACGGGGACCCCGTAGCGAAAAAAGAAGAAACCAACTGTCTGGGACCACCTCACCGATCCTGGCCAGGCCGATCATGGGCCCAGGGTGGGCCCGGCCAGGATCGGTGAAGTGGTCAGTTGACGTCTTCCGAACGGGACCAAGAAATTTGGGACGGGCAAGCAAAGGCGAGCGCCCAGTGTCAGCCCGACTGGACTGGCCCTGTGAGGGAAGCGCGTTGGGACCTGGAGCCCTGAGGCCAGAAATTAGGTGTGCACCGACACAGCTGGAGTCGGAAGGTCGGGAACCTTGGTCGAGAAGGCAGGCAGAAATTGGAGGGGGGCGCCGTTGAAATCCGCACAGTCAATTGACAGGAGAAATCGCTCCGCTCGTGCAGCCGCGGCCGTGTTCTTTGCGGAATTACAGGTTCCGCCCGCGGCTGCCGTAGCCGCCGCTTGCACCAGGAGACACAATACAGTCTGCTCGGGGGGAATGAACACTAGTAAGTTGGAGGTTTGAACTGGACGGGGAGGGGAGGATGAGGTGGGGGAGGAAGGACGGGAAGGGGGGGAGGTGAGAGGACCACTCTGAGAGAGGAGGACAGGATGGGTGGACGAGGAGGGGGCACAGAAAGATGAGGATCAGAAAAAAGAGTTGCAGACTTCAAAAGTATGCTGACATTCCAGGGGTGCAAATCAAATTCGTCATGGTCATGGTTGGCAGTGCCCACCGCTTGAACCGCGATAGTCGCTCCACATCTGTAGATTCCGAAAGCTGGACACTGAGCCAATGTGCATCCACATGGCTCCGCACTAATTCAATACTCGGGAGCGGCCAAGAGGGGGGCGTCCAAGAGGGGGGGTGCAAATCATGACCGGCGGCATGTGCGCGGCCCAGCGGGCGGGCCAGGGACGTAATGAAATAAGAAGAGGCGCCATGAAATCTGGGGAAATATCATGGCCCACGCCATGATATCCACCACCCCCTAGTCATCACCCTCCTCTTTTCCGCCCCCGAAATACTTCGCCGCTACGAAAGTTCGGCCAAAATGCAGCGACTCCTGTTAGGCGACAGGGCCTTGGTACAAAATTGTCGGTGGCGTTGCGCCCGCGACAAGAGAAGAAACGTCAAAGGGGCCTGCTAGGCCGCGGGGCCCCAGCACAACGTTCTGTTCAAGCACAAGTTTGCACAAGTCTCGGGCGGAACCACCCTTTCGAATTCGAAAACGATGATTTCAAAATCGTCGAAATCGAGTTTTGGAGGACGTTGTGGGCGGAAGCGCCATTTCGAAATCGAGCCCCGAAAGATTCGGAATCGTTCAAAATTGTTTTTTGTCCGGAAGCAATCTCAAGCGAAAGCCACATGTTCAAAATCTCTGGTCAGAAACTTGAGGCATGTAACGGCCAAGCGGTGCGTCCAAATCGAAACGACGGTTTCGCTTGAGAGTTCCCCCCCAAAAGAAGCACTCAAACGATTTCGAAAGTTTCGGGCTCGATTTCGAAATTGCGCTCCCGCCCAAGACTACCTCCTCCAAACTAGAATACCAAACCTGCCTGGCTCGATTTCGAAATTGCGCTCCTGTCCAAGACTTCCTCCGAAACAGAACTCTGAACCTTTCGGGTTCGACGTCGGAATGGAGCTCCCGCCCAAGACTTCTTCCAAACTAAACTTGGAAACCCTTCTGGCTTGACTTCGGAATGGCACTCCCGCCCAGGACGTCCTCAAAACAGAATTCGAACCTTTCGTGATCGATTTCGGAATGGCGCTCCTGCCCAGGATTTGCTCTAAAACAGAGCACGACCCTTTGCTGTTCGACTTCAGAATGGAGCTCCCGCCCAGGACTTCCTCCAATACACAAGTCGGAAACCTTCCAGTGCAGGATCGATGTTCCGTTTCCCAACGCGGTTTTCCCGCCTGCAAAGGGCGTGAAAATATGTTCGTCGCTGTATCATAAGATGCGTGGTAAGGCGGAACAAGCGTTGTTTTGCAGGTTACCGTCCCGTGGACATGTGAACACTTGGTGAAAAGACCGTTGGGGCGATGGCAAAGTTACGATTATTGACGCTTTGCATCCCCCCGGGCCATGCAGAAAATTCCCCAAGCGAATTGCCTTGGCAAAGAGATTGCAGCAGTGAACTGCCTACGGATATATGTGCTCGCACATCTATACACGGAGGAAAGGGAGGAGGGAGGGGCGAAGGTAATTAGGAGGAGCAGGTGGAATATGAAGAGGCAAATGATGATGAGGAGGGGGAAGAGGAGAAGGAAGAAGAGGAAGGGGAGGAGGAGGAGGAGGAGGAGGAGGAGGAGGAGGAGGAGGAGGAGGGGGAGGAGAGGCGAACTGGGGCGGGCAGACGAAAGGAAGAGGACGGGCGGATGGAGGGAGGAGGGAGGAGGTGTGAGAGACGATCGAGGAGGGAGGGAGGGGCGGAGGAATTGATGAGGGAGGGATGGAAGTCTGACGGAGAAAAGATTGAGGAAAGACTGATGCGTGGAAGGATCGAGGGAGGCAGGCAGGAGTGACAAGGTATGGAAAGATGAGGGAGCAGGGACGATGCAGGAGGGACGGTGGTAAGAGAGATAGAAGGAGGAAGGAAGGAGGCAGTCAGGAAACCCGGGTGGGTGGATGGGTCGGGGGATGGATGGGGGGACACATGAGAGGATGAGGGATGAAGGATGACGGACGGATGGAAAAAAAGTACGAGGGACGAGTTCATGGCTGGATGGATTACGAAGGAGAGGGAGGGAGGCAAGGATGGAGGGAAGGAGTACAGAGGAATCGACGCATCCAGGGATGGAAGGGGGTGGAGGAAGGAAGGATGGAGAGAAGAGGTAGTAAGTTGTGGAAAATGAACGAAGGAGTGAGGATGGGGTGGACAGATGAGGAGTGCACGGGTGGTGGGATTCACTGGCGACGGATGGTTGGAGGCGGCTGGGTGCTCATAGTCACGGTGATGCTCAAGCGTTGCTTGGCTCAAACAGTCCAGCTTGCCCACTGCTGCTTGTCAGGAGTGGCGTTCACTGGCAATATGGTCCCACAATCGGCTGAGTGCTCATAGTCCTCGTGGTGCTCAAGCGCGCTGATTGGCTCAAACACTCCTGATTGCGTACTGCTGCTTGTCAGGAGTGGTGCCGCTGGCAATGTGGTCCCGCAGGCGCTATGAGCATTTATGAGACAGCCATTAGGGCGGCAAGAGCGGGCACTTTCAGCAGGAAGCTACTCAATGAGGCAACCAACGCGGACGCAGCAGGTCGCCTGTCGCGGGCGCGGTCTCCAGCGCGGGTCGGGGACTCACGTCGCAAGCTCTGGTCACGGACGCCGGTCGCGAGTGCGGGTTGCTGGTGCGAATCGCGGGCGCGTGTCGCAGGCACGAGTCACTTTCGCTTCCGGAGCACCACGCTGCAAGCTGCACCTGGCTGTCCCTTCTGACTTTCACTCGGCCGAACAGCCGTAACGCGGGTGGGTGGCCGACAGCCCCGCGCTTCCATCGGGAGCAAAAGCTGGAAGCCAAAAACGTACACTGTGACACCTCGGTATTCCATGATTAGCGTAGCGGTTAGAGGGGTGGGAACGGTCCTCTAGTCCTCCTCCCCCTTCCACACTCATCATTGGAACCTTCGTTCCGCGTTGTCTTGGTGGAAGCACGAAGCGGGTCAAACTTTCGTAGCGCCGATGTAGTTTGCGTTATACAAGTACGATAGAGCACTGACAGAATGGAAAGGCACCACATGCGAACGCGACTGGACTGGCAAGCAGCACGTGAATTGTGCTGAAGGTGAGCATATCACCTTGGCGCCAAGCGCGCCGAAGGATCCCCGCAGGGGGCAACGGAAAGAGAACGAACACGTGCTACAAAACCTCCATGCCCTGAGCTGAACCTGCAAACATGTATAGATCAGCAGACCAGCACGATCCACTTAACACCCTGGAGCCACTGACCATGCTGACGCACATTCCCGACGCCCACAAGTCCTCCCTTTGATGTTCTGCTCTAGGCTCCCATGCACTCAAATATCGCGATGACGAGAACGACAACAGCAACAACGTTGCTGGCGGCGGCAGTGGCAAAACCATCAGCGCATCGCGAGAACAATCCGAGAGCGGTGAGCGATAGGCCTGAATCACAGCCCTGCTGTACTGCACTGGCTGCGACGCGTACCTGTTGAAGCGACTTCTATTAATTTTCATGATCGTCCGAATTGCTCCTCCTCTGCTTCGTAAACTCCCCTGCGCAAACAAAGCCGAACGGTTCCGCAAAATGCCACAGTACTTCTGAAGATCAGGCACTTACGCACGCACAATCTGGACGAAGCCCAGAAAGATTCATCTGAACGGCACCACGACAGAAAACTGGACTCAATATGTAGACCAAGTGGCCTCGCACGGCTACTGCACGGAAGATTATAACGATCTTGCGTCGCCGACGGCACGACGAACACACAAATCGAACCGTCCCCGAAAGCCCAAAACAGCATCTGCGATGGGCACGGAACGGCATGACGCCAATCGGGCTCGTGAATACGGTGAAACACCGAACCAAGCCGACTCGCGAGATCGCGACACTGAGCAGCGCCAAACGACATCGTGAGCCCGCAACACGGCACAACACCGAACAGATCTCCGAAGAGGCGACACGGCAAAGGACAACACGCCACGGCACCGAACTGACTCGCGAGTTGGCGGCACGGAACGGCATGGCACGGCACCGAACGGGCTCGCGAGATGGATACACAGCACGGCACGGCCCGGCGCCAGACATAATCGCGAAGTGACAGCTCGGAACGGATGCGCGAGTTGGCGGCACTGCAAGGCACAACACGGCGCGCGGCGGCACGGCAGGCGCCGCTCGGAATTACAAGAGTTCGACAGGTGGGCCCCTTCTGCGTTTAAGCATAACTTTACAGCGGTCGTTCTTCAGGAACTTGGGCGCGGGCCAAGGAGGGCAAGACAAGCGACAAAATCGGGGACCGGCAGGGTGCCCAAGCGAACGAACCATAGACTCGCCACAACGACCACATACCAAACTTCGGAAGACCACTTCTGATGAGTTATGACGCGAGGCCCTGAGAAGTTCGAGCTGAATTACACAGCGGACTGATCTGCCACCGTGCCGCCAGGCACTGAGTGGACCGTTCTCAAGTTCCTTACGTAGAGCCCTCCGCACAGAATAACTAATGAATACCATTGAAAGATCCCACGGCCCCGAATACCGGACACCCTCGGGGGTTGGCGCGTGTTGTCGGGTGACTTTTCCAGGAGGCACGAAGGCCCCAAGACGGACCAAGAGAGCCACCAGAGGCCTCAAGGATGGTCCAAGAGGGCCCGGAGTCCCCCAACGATCGCACTGAGACACCCAAGATGGCCTTTTCTTTCCCGAGGCATGGAAGGCGCAAGTATAACGGATGAGACAACGAAAAAAGCACTAACTAGTGCGAGCTCGGTAGGCGGTCGCCTTTTTTGGGCCAGTTTCGGCCCATAGACCGGGCGTGGACAAGGAGGGCACGGTCACGAGCTTCTGCTCGCAGCCGTTCCGCTAGTGGCGGCTTTCTGAAGCTGCCACCAATTAACTGAGGTCCACACCTACTCCTGGCAAGATGCTTGAGGAGGCCCAAGACATTCCGGACGCCTTGGACGGTGTCTGGCCTGTGACCTGTGGCCTGAACCTGGCTTCGACAACGCTCGCGCTCCCTGGAGCTCTTGCGCCATATTCAGGGATCTGGTATCACAACTCCTCGTCCTCTTCGATAACCCACCCTCACACTGGCCCCTACTACTCCTCATCCTCTTCCTCCGCTCCCCTCCGCCACCTCATCTTACCCCGAACCCATCCTTCTCCTCCCTCATCCCTCATCCTCCCCCTACTCCTCCCCAGTCATCATCCTTCCCCTACTTATCCTATTTCTCCTCCCCTTTGCGCTTACATTCCTCCTCCTCCTCCTCCTCCTCCTCCTCCTCCTCCTCCTCCTCCTCCTCCTCCTCCGCCTTCTCCTCCTCCTCCTCCTCCTCCGCCTCCTCCTCCTCAGCCTCCTCTTCCGCCTTCTCTCCCTCCTCCTAGCCGTTTTGGCACAGGGCACTGTGTTTGTTGGCATCCACTTCAGAACGTCACGAGGTGCCAACGGGCCAAGACTGGCACGATTTCGTTTTCAAAGGTGCAATGGCCCCGAGCAAGCCATTGCCGTGGGGCAGATCCCCACCATGGGCGGTTCCCAGCCCATAGTATGCGCAGCAGTGGCCCTCTTGGTGCAGTCCTCCGTATCTGGTGTACACTTGGGTCCTGGCTACGGCAGCGGCGGCACTCAGCATGACGGCCGCTGGACTTCTCTTTCCCGACTGCCGCTGCAAGAAGAATGATCACCGTTCGGCTGCCTGCAAGCACTGCAATCGGCCACGAAGGGCAGGCCCAAGGCAGCTGCCTCCAGGGGTATGGCCAGAACCGACGCAGTGGCAGCATGGAGACGGACACCAGCAACAGCAAGCGACTTCAGGCCAACGGCTCAACGTCGGTCTGCAGCCACAGAAGCTCGACGGCTACTCGGCGATGGAGCTCCAGCAGCTCATCGATATCGCGCACGAGCACGACGACACCGCCAACGTCAAGCTGTATACGGCGGCCCTCGAACATGTCAAGGCAAAGGATCGACCAGTACCTCCTAAGCCACTTCAGCGGCAAGCCAATGATGATAATCAGGTGCATCAGATCACTGACCGACGGCCGGCAAAGGCGCTGGACGAGTTGGATCAGGCGCGCGCGTGGGTCACAAAGAAGCACAATGACGTTGTCAAGTACCAGAAGAAGCTGGAAGAGCAGGACCGCATCCACACGGACCTCATCGGCCAGCTCCATTCCCTGATGTGCAAGCCGCAGGCTCCGCAGTCCGTCAACCACACCGCCACACAAATCAACGTGCATAACTTGGTGGGCGGCATAATGAGCGGATGAGCTGTCTGGCATACCATCAGCAGAGTACGATTTCTCATCAGACGATATCAAGCTACTTCAGTCCAAGCAGAAGGAGTTGCTCTTTGGAATGCAGCAACTGGCGGGAACCCTCTACACCGACCTGGTCAAGACCCTGTACGAAGCGAAGCGCGACTACCGAGAGGGCTTGGCTCGCTTGCCACACAACAAGCGGAAGGCCAACGACCGTGCAGCTCCTGGCGGAAAAAGCTCAGGCTCGAGGTCGAGTGGCGGGGGCAGCTCCGCGGCAGGTGTTGCTGACGAACCAGAACAGGGCGCCACTCCTGACGGGGATGCGTTTCGTGAGCGTGCCCAGTGTCGCATCGGCTCCTGAGCCGATCTCTCAGTCAAAGGATACCCCCCCTTGGCCACCTACTCCAGGAGCCTAGGGGAGAACAACAGTTTTCTACTGCTACTGCCAGCCAAGGGGCCAAGTTTTTGCAAGTTGCAGCCAGACGGTTCCAGTTCTCTCGAATTCAATGGTGTCCTCGGAGCCCCGGCCCACCCAGGCCCTGGTGATTTTGACTTACTTTTCGAAACCATTAAGTCCTCCAGCTGGACGTCGGTTCAACCATGTTTTTTATCACCCGCCCACGTTAATTGACTTCAGGAGCATCACTTAGCTAAGAAGGCTGCGAGTGAAGAAACGTCCGCTTGGATTTGTCGCCACGGCTGGCCCGCTCGAATCTCTCCTGCCCTGGTCACGCCCGAGGGGGGCACGTCTGGTGGTACGGCGATGTTAGTTCGAGATGGGTTAGGTTGTTGTGACGTGACTAAGTAGACGGCTGGAGTTCCATCCCGATAGTAAACACCCCGACAACGCAACCGTTAAGCAAACGCACCCGACGAAGGAATCGAACAAGAAAGCGCTGTTTAGTAAACGCACCGGGCCGTTTAGTAAACGCCGATTATGGGGCTCGGGGTGGATTTGCCATCGCTGACTAAGGGCCCTGATCTCATTCCAGGCCGAGCTACAAAGTGCCAAGTCCAGGTACCTGGCGGCGTTACTATACTGTGCTGCTCGCTCGACCTCAAGGACTCCGAAGGACTATCGGAGTTCAACTTACCAGGTTTAGCCGAGGTTGCAGCCCTCTGCGATTCCTATTCCTCCCCTTATCTAAAAGGGGGTGACTCAAACATGCCCCCCACCGAGCTGGCTAAATGTGATTTCGCCGGTGGCCTATCGGCCAACATAGTCTACCCACAGGAAGCCACCTCGTGTGCCAGCACAGTTGCGGGAGCGGGATCTCTCTGAGACATCTCTGTCTGCGGCCCTGGGCTTGGCAAAGGCATTGCTGGACCGTCGGTCGCGTCGGTTGCTGACACTCGCCCCCACCGACCCGTCGAGCACGTTCCCACCAAGCCCGTGCCGACCTACAGGTGCTCACTTCCGTTCGACCCCCAGCAATTCCCGCCCCTCTCCCTATTGGACCGTTTCCACGAGAGGACTGCTGGCGCGAGACCTTGGACTGCGCCGAGCATGCTTTGTATTTGGTTCGGTCCGAGACCCCAGGTCCTCGGTCCAGCATCATCCCAATCTGCTTTCCAAGTTTTGGGCCAACCAGTCCGAGGCACAACTCGAGGGCGCCCACCAGATCCAGCTTCCCACCCCAAGGTACCCGCGGCGAGGTGCCCAAGCTGGCCTGGAGGTCAGTTCTATCTCAGGGCCGTCGCCGCAAGCCGAGGCAGCCCGCCCTGCACGCGCATCGCTGCCTGGAAGGCAACGCGAGCCCCCCCATCGTCTGCACCAGCACTGACCGCTGGAGACAGGCCCAAGGCATATCCAAGTTATTGTTTTCTCCCCCCCAAGGACGGTCACCTCACTGGCTTTCAGGAAGTGGCCCAGCGCGACGAGGCCCATGTTTCCCCGACCGTGAGGGATCCTGCGTTCTCTGGCCAGGACCACCACTGGCAGGCCACAGGGATTGAACTTCTCGAGGTGCTTAGCGAAGCCCTCGGCAACTACTCGGCCACCGCCAGAGCGGAGGCCGCCCCGAATTGGAAGGAGCAGCTCTGCGACGGCACCGAGGGAGAGGGCATGCGCGCCCACGACTGGACCCGACCCCCTACCGCTTGGACCCCCACCCACACCGCGCCGTCCCAGGGTAAAGTTCTGGCTGACCCTAAGAGTCTCTTGCAGACGGAGCGCGCGCGTTTTTTCCTGGCCTCTGAAGGCAGGGGAGGCGCCTTTCAAGGGACAG